ACAGCATATATTTATTTTTGCACCAAATGATAGCAATGCTGTTCTGTACCTTTCTTTTCTTACTCTAACTTAATAATGTGTCTTAGAAATCTTCTCATTAGAATGACCTTTTACTTTATATTGTTATGCTTTGTGTTTTTATGAAGGCTTTCCTTTTTATTAAGGCTTTGGATATTCAAAATCAAATCTTAACATATTTTGGCATAAATAAGATAATTAAACCAAATAAAAAAATATATATATATGCGTATTTTTTTTTTTAGTTGTCAATGGACTTTTATTTATTTATATGCGGCGCTGAAGATCGAACCCAGTGCTTCACACATGTTACCTCACACTCTACCACTGAGCTACAACTCCAGCCCTAGAGCTACTCTTTTTGATGTGTCAAAGAGTTTTTATTTCAGAAATGGTTGTCAATGAGAACAACTATTTCAGACATTGGTAGTACAATTTTTTTTGGCAGGTCTGGCTAGGTTGCCCAGGCTGGCCTTGAACTTGGGATACTCCTACCTCAGCCTCCCCAGTAGTGGGATTATAGGTTACCATGGCAGTAACCCTCCCTTACTTGTACACCAGTATTTCTTTCTTTTTTTTTTTTTAATATTTATTTTTTAGTTATCGGCAGACACAACATCTTTGTCTGTATGTGGTGCTGAGGATTGAACCCGGGCCACACGCATGCCAGGCGAGCGCGCTACTGCTTGAGCCACATCCCCAGCCCGTACACCAATATTTCTTACCAAGGCCTACAAGTGCCAGACATTTGCCCCATTTGACCCTGGGCTCCTAAATGTCTTATTCCTTTCTCCAATTAACTGGTGCTTCATAACTAAATTTAAAAGTTTCCATTTGGGGTATGAAAATATTCTGGAATTAGATAGTGGTGATGGTTGCACAACTTTGTGAATATACTGAAATCTATCAAGTGTACACTTTAAATTAAAATATGAACTTTGTGGCATGTTACTGATCTCTTAAAAACAAAACCAGGGACGGGGCTGTGTCTCAGTGGTAGAGCGCTTGCCTAGCATGCATGAGGCATTGGGTTTGATCCCCGCACCACATAAAAATAAACAAAATAAAGGTAGTAAAAAAAATTAAAACAAAACTAATTTTAATATCTTGTCATCAGCTAATCTTTCCAAATGTTATTCTGAACAATTGTCACTACAGGTGCCTCTAGTCCTCCTCCTACATCTCTGGATTGGTGAAAGGCAGTGGACAGCAGCAGAGTGTGGACAGCAGCAGAGTAGGAACTGCTCTGAAACAGTCCTGGTCTGTGCCTGAGCTCTGCTCATGACTGTTTTTTTTTTTGTACTGGGAATTGAACCCAGGATGCTTAACCTCTAAGCCACATCCCCAAGCCCCGCTTTTTAAAAAATATTTTGAGACAAGGTCTTGCTAAGCTGCTTAGGGCCTTGCTAAGTTGCTGAGGCTGGCTTTGAACTCATTATCCTCCTGCCTCAGCCCCCAGAGTTGCTGGGATTACAGGCATATGCCACTGCGCCCAGCTTTTGCTCATGATTCTGCAAACTTACTATCTATGTGATCTTGGGGGAGTTACTTTACCAAAGCTGTATTTCTGGTAATTAAACAAATTAATTTTTAACTGATACATAAATAAAAATCATATGTTAATTGAAATCTATGTGATGTCTTAATATATACATACATTGTGTGATCACATTAAATATTATCTCTTTAAACATTTATCTCTTCTTTATGGTGAAAATACTCAAAAATCCTTTATTCTCGATTTTCTTCCCTCTTTTTGTGGCACTGGAGACTGAACCCAGGGGCACTAAACTTCACATACCAGCCCTAATTATTTATTATTTAGAGACAGGTCTTACTAAAATGCCTCAGTCTTCAAGGTAGCTGGATCATAGGTGTGTGCCACTGCACACCGCTCTTTTAGCTTTGTGAGATATATAGCATATAATCACTCTTAGTCACCTTACTGTACAACAGCACACTAGAATTTCATACTCTTAATTGCAACTTAGAACCCATCTATGAACCTCTTCCCTGTCTTCTTCCCCACTATTCTCACTAGCCTCTGGTATCTACCATTCTACTCTCAACTTAGCTCTGAGATCAACTTAGATTCCACATATGAGTGGGACCACGCAGTACTTGTTTTTCTGTGCATGACTTATTTCACTTAACATAATGACTCCTTATTTGTTAAACAAGAAAATGGTACTGATCCACCATGTATAGTTCAGCAAATATTGGATGTTGTCATTTGTATTAATGGGTAAGTGTGAATTTTTCTACAATCTTAAATACCTGTGTTTTTTAAACTATGTTTTGAAAATGTAATTCCTTGAACATTTTCTCTCTGATTTAGTAGCTGTGACCTGTGGAGCTGTAAAAACAAATGTGCTTGGTAGCACAACTTTTACCATGGCGTCTTCTAGGAGCAGGCATCTGTATTTGTTAAGCATAGCTTGGGTCCTCTTTAGGAGCTGAGTGGCAACTGTTTCAAATTCACTGTCCACTTTAAAAAGAGAGAAAAAAAGAGAGAGAGAGAGAGAGAGGAAATGAGAGAGAGAGAGAGAGAAAGGAAATAGTAAGAGAGTGTAATTCAACCACTAGGTCTTTTTTTTTTTTTTTTTTTTTTTAATGGTACTGGGGATTGAATTCAGGGGCACTCTACCACTGAGCTGCACACCCATAACTTTTTATTTTTTATTTATTTTTAATTTTTTGTTTCATTTTTAAATTTTGAGACAGGGTCTTGCAAGTTACCCCAGCTGGCCTTAAACTTGTGATCCTCCTGCCTCAGCCACCCAAGTGGGATTATAGGCATGTACCACTGCACCTGCCACCACTCAGTCTTTATTTCACTTATTTTTTGGGCAGTGCTGAAGATAGAACCTAGGGCCTCACACATACTAGGCAAATGCTCTACCACTGAACTATATCCCAGGCCCTAAGACTTTTATTTCTTAAGACCGAAATACACTACTCTTCCATTATTCAAACAGTGCATGTCTGTGGCAATCTTTCCTTAGATTAACTTTTCCTTGATAAGCATCATGCTTCTGTACTGTTTTCCCTCACTGTCGATGTGGTCATGGAAACTCATGTTAATATAGCTTATTTCAACTTTAATTAGGAAACCAAAACAAAATACCTTTAAATATCACCTACAAATAAAACCACATAAGAGACCAGGAACAAATATCAGTGAACAGATAATGATCTGCTAGTTTAGATGACCTAAACCTGCACTCCTTTCCAACAGTGGGTAAAACTAAAACAGTAGGAATGATGAAATCCAGCTATCTGTGCTGGGCAGACCAGGTTAATACAAAGATACAATCTATTCCATGACACATTGCAGGTATGGTCTCTGTAGGTCTGTTCTTTTATCTTTCAGTCTCCAAAGGCTTTACATTTCCTAATTTACCCTTCTTCTCAGAGTCATCTCTGTTTAATGCTGGATCTTCATCCTATTCCCTAGATCTCCCAGGGAAGCACTCAGTGGACTGACAGAGGTCACTGTACTCTGCTATCAGAGATCCCACCAGGAAGAGCAAAACTTGTGGCAGTTGAAGAAGAAACTAGAGTGGTAGAGGACAAGTCAGGGCTTGGCAGTGGGGGTGGGAAGGATGGATAGAACTAAGTCACAACTGGGAGAGGCAGCAGGGCCAGGCAACAAAATGGGCTGAGTTCTAGGTTGGGACAATGGGCCCTGATCCTTAACATTTTTGTCAAGTTTCCTGAAGTTTGGCCAATGCTCTAGAGTCACTGTGGGACCTTAGGGAATGCTTCAGGTAGGGGTTAAAGTCGCTATCTAGTTAATAGAACTGGTGACACAACTAAGGGCAAGGACTAAGCTCAAGTGTGATTTAGTCCAAGACCATCCCATGTGCAGTCAGCAGCCTAAACAATGCTTTCAATTCACTGCTCCCCAGTGTATCAATAAAATACCATGGTATTTTGGGATCCCCTTCATAGATTATTGGGAAGAATAAGTCACAGCCCTACACATGGCCTGATAAATTGAGTACAAAGGGAACAGGTAGGCCTGTGATGAAAAATAACAACTTGTCTACCAGCTGGGGGTGATGTAGCTCTTGCTCTTCTGTGGGTAGCATGGGAGGGCACCTGGTGTCAGGGTGGCCCTCTAAGGGCTGCAGCCTGTTTACCTTTCCTCAGGTCTTCCTCGGTGGGCATGGAGCCCTGGCACACATGGTAGGAGAGCAGTCTCTGCACTGCATCACTCAGTGATCGGAACTGGCTTTTGTCAGGTGTCACAGCATGGGCTTGGTCCCTCTGTAACTGCTGAAGAATGCTTTAAGAGAGAAATGCCAGTGTTGATATCATGTCAAACATGTCTGAATATCAAATCTAATCATGGTGCTTATTTGCATGCAAAGAAAATAAGATATACAGGAATACTATTTTCATAGCTCAGCAGGTTTTTTCTTCAGTTTTATACTTTGTGTATCACTGCTATGACCCTGACCTCAGAAGCAGTGTCTCCACCATCCATTTGCATGTGGGCACTCACAGAGATTTTGGCCACACTGACTACTGACCAAATAAACTCATGCTTTTAAATGCAGAAACTTATCAAATTGTGCTTCTCCTCAGAGACTTCCTATCTCTAAAGAGACAAAGTACTTTTCTCCTTAAGAACAGAGAGCAAACAGTAAGTACGCTCAAGCTACAAATCAAAGTGCAGAAAAAGATTTTCAAAGTACTTTTTCAAAAGGCTAAGAAACTAATCATAATAACCTGACTTCTGTGGTATATATATTGAAGGTTAGGAACCTGGAGAAATGTTAAAATTTAATTTGTCATTTCCAAAGGTGACTCACAAAGCTCCTTTAGTTAGCTGTTTTGCAGCAGGCCTTTTTTGTCCTCCTGAATGACCGTCCACCTAGAGATAAAAAAACACCTCTTATTATTCCCTTTTGTAGAAAAAAGAAGCAGAATACAGATACACATAAAGTTCACTGTTTCAAATATTTTTCTTTTCTTTTCATATGGAACATTTCAAGAATTTGCATGTCATCCTTGCACAGAGGCCATGCTAATCTTCTCTGTATTGTTCCAATTTTACTATATATGCTGCCAAAGCGAGCACTCAAATATTTTTCAATTACCTATTAAGAGCATGTTGTAGTAGTATGGCCCACGATGACCATTTTTTTTCTGTGTACAACATCATATAGGCTTTGCCTTTAATGATCTCTTACAGTTAGAAAACAGCTTTGCCTTTAATGATCTCTTACAGTTAGAAAACATAATAAAAACAAACTGGACAAATTGCACATACCAGATTACCAGATCATCACTAGCAGATGTCAGTTGCATATTCAGTCCTTTATGAAATTCATAAACAAAGAGTTGTTTTTTCTTTGTGGTTTTAATAAGAGTTTAAGAATTGTTACGAGTCTTATGTTATTTTAATGATCCCTTTAAATTTTATCTGTTGCTGTTGCCTCTGGAAACATGATTTGTTTAGATTGCTAATCCTACTCATTCAGGAAGTGCCAAGAGGTGTTCTGTAGGAAGTGGTGCATCTTAGTGTAAATTTCCCTCTACCTTTGCTAATATCATGGCAGAACTTTTCTTATCCCAAGGCAGTTGTTGACTGAATTTTTCATCCTTACAATCCTGTCATTGTATTTAACATTAAAAAAAAAAAGAAGAAGAAGAAGAAGAAGAGCATATTGTAAGGCTCCAGAATGTGCCCTGTTACAATACAAAATAAACAAGTCCACAAACTCCATGTAGCAAAGCTGTACTCTGTTAGGAGTATAGAAAGAAAGCTGTACTGTCAGTTCCTTAGAAAGAACTCAGTTTGTACTTTTTTTTTTTTTTAAGAAATGAGGTCTTGCTTTGTTGCCTAGTCAGACCTTGAACTTCTGGGTTCAAGTGATCCTCCACCTCAGCCTTCCAAGTAGAGCTGGGACTACAGACACCTGCCATCCTGCTTGGCTCGGTATGTACTTCAAAGCCTAAACACTCAAACTTCTTCTACAAAAAGCATCTTTATATTTTGGAAGAAATGTGTTTGGGTGCCAATATCATGAACACCTGAAAACTCAGTAGATACTACTTAATCCATTTTCTCAGTGGTAAACGAGGGAGCAAACACTTTGAAGCTCCTGTTACAAGAAGTTGAGGTATAATAGACATTTCTTACATCATTAAGGAAACAAGACACCTTATGTGAGAACCTGAGAAATCAACAGATCCTTTACTGGGTATTCCAGGGCAGACCTAGACTGCAGCAAGTTTTATCAAACTATTAATTGGTAAACTTCATGCAGATGGAATGAAGGCCATAGTAAAGCTGAAGACAAAAAACATTTTTTTTCCTTCTTTGGTTTGAAATGTTTTAGATTTAAAAGACTAAAGGGACTGCCTACTTCGTACATGTCTGTTTATTACTACAAAAAAAAAAAAATCTCTCAGCAGGGTGCATTGGTGCATACCTATAATTCCAGTGATTTAGGAGGCTGAGGCAGGAGGATTGTAAATTTGAGGCCAGGAAGAGTAACTCACTGAGACTCTGTCTCAAAATAAAAAATAAAAAGGGATGGAGAAAGAGCTTACATCCTTAATACTGCAAAAAAGAAAAAATAACCAACCAACCAAACAAACAAAAAAAACCCTCTCAGTACACTAAAAACAGATCTGCTTTGATTTGATGATGGGTATATGTGTGTTTTCTTTTCTTTTTGTGCTACTAGGGATTAACACACATTTGCACACATTTAGCATGTGCTCTACCCCTGAGCTACACCCAAAGTCCCCGCTGGTATTAACTGATGAGGAAATGATGGATTCATGAAGCATTGTGAACATGTCAGAAATACACTAGACACATTAATGTTAGAAACATAAATGTAACCAAGCATGGCCCACCAGGAAGGTCTTCAGTGACCACACTGTGTGACATATAGGGGCAGGCTGGCTGTGCACACAATGCAGGATAGTAACCACAAACCAGATGTCACAACCACACTAATGTTCAGTTATGCAAATTATGAAGAAGGAGCTATGCAAATAGTTTTCTACCTGCACAGCTGGCTGGCCAGGAGATGATCCAACTGCTTTTTCCTGTTGTGGCTGTGCAGTTCCTAAAGATGCCGGCATAACTTTGTTTCCAGAATCCTGTCCTATTGGAATTAATACAGAAGATAATGTTCAACAGAAATGTTAAGTCAGGTCCTCTGTATAGTCCTACAGCCCAGCATATGCAGGTGATCACACATTCTGTTTGTGTGTGTGTGTGTTATACTGGGGATTGAACTCGGAGGTGCTCTACCACTGAGCTATACCCCCAGCCCTTTTTATTTTTCAAATTTTGACACAGGGTCATGCTAAATTGCTGAGGCTGGCTCTGGACGTGAGCTCCCCTTGCCTCAGCCTCCTGAGTCACTGGGATTATAGGTGTGCACCACCACACCTGGCTGAAAGGAATTTCTTTATTGTGGATTCATGAAGGGAGTAGGGTGGTATATTTATTCACAAAATTTAGAGGCAGAGATTAGGGTTGGTAAAGCCTATTTAAGTAATAAATCTAACTAATTAAACCAACGGTAATAAACAGGAGCTATAAACACTATAACTTCACATTATCTATGATCTGAGAAATAGGCCTTAAGTACTTCAGAACCCCAAAATAAAACTTAAGGAAAGGAGTTCCAAAGAAGGAACTGACTAGGAATGCTCAAACTTTCATTCCTTTTTTAGTATTAATTGAGTAGTTACAGGTGTTCAAAGCCTTAGAAAAAATGGCAGATATAACCCACAGTATTTTTACTTTTGGGAAGGGGGAGGATTCTAAATGTATATAAGCAACATGAGTATAATCACAAAGTCACATGTGCCAAATAATACCAGATTTCGTTGTGGAATGGATATAGAAAAAAAGGAATAATCAGAGTGGAGGTGAGATTCAGTCAAAGATTTCATGCAGAACGAGGCAGGGGAGAGTGTCCCCTGGAGTTGGGAGGACAGGGACGGCCTGCAGAGAGCTTAAAAAGGCTCCTGACCTGGCAGTGCTGTGCTCAAGAGCCCAGGGATCTGTGTTTGTCTCAGGCCATCTGCAGTCTTGGAAGTGGACATGGGGGAGGTCTGATTCAAACATTTTTTCTGAGCCTGTGAAACATATAACCAAGATGGAAAGATTAATTTCATTATTAAAAGTTTTAATAGATTACTTAAGATGCCAAACAAGTCTCTTAATGCCTACCTGCCACCACTTTAAGATTATATAACAAAACATAACTAAAACCATTATTCTCTTATCACATTGGGAGAAGTTTGCAAAGTGCATCCTCTAAAATCTATAGGCACACTGAATTTTCTCAACACCATTCAGAGAGAATGCTGAGTTGACACCAGACTATCTTTTACACCTGGGACTACTGTTTGTTGTGTTTGGAGGCAACAAGTTCATGGGAGATGAACTAGATGATATAAATAAAATTTTTTTTTCCTGTACTGAGGATCAAACCCAGGGCCTTATGCATGCTAGGTAAGTGCTGTACCACTGAGCTGGATGGTATTTAAAAACTAATAAGTTCCTTTTAGTTCTTAAAAAAAAAAAAAGTATGTTTCTTTACAATGCATTTTTTTGAGGGTACTTGGGATTGGACACAGGGGACGAAGCTTCCCCAGATCTTTTTATTTTTTTTTTAGTTGTAAACGGGCACAATACTTTTATTTATTTATTTATTTTTATGTGGTGTTGAACCCAGTGCTTCACATATGTGAGGCAAGCACTCTGCCACTGAGCCACAATCCCAGCCCTCTCCCAGATCTTTTTACTTTTTGAAAAAGGGTCTTGCTAAGGGGCCAAGGATGGTCTCTAACTTTTGATCCTCCTGTCTCAACTGGGATTACAGGAATGTGCTACCAAGCTCGGTTTATAATGCATTCTTAAATAAGAAGACAAAAGATTTTAAAAGTACCATCAAACTTCACTTAGCTGTGACACTACTACTTCATAGGACAGTTGGTTTTTCAGAGCTTTTCTTTGGTTTCATATTATAAATTCTATAAATTCTATCAGTGGATCTAGAGTTTAGTCTGACCATCCCCACAGGGGGCTTAAATTAATGATCTTGGCTCAAGCAAAATGTTTTCACTCTCCATTCACATGTGGGCGCTCACACAGAGCCACCCTGGCTGTGGTCTACTTGTGTTATCATTTCTGTTCAAACAATTAATTATTCATTTGGTTTTATTTTCTAATATAAAAATGGGAAAGATTCTGACATTACCCAAGCAAGACTAGAGGAGATCATTAAAGAGTCACAAATAATCACTTTTTTCATTCTTCCATTGACAAGGAAGGACAAATCTATACTACCCTAAGCAGATAATCAACAAATTCTTGGGAAGAAAACCACAAATGGAAAGGTCAATGTCAAAACCTTCCAGTTTCCACTGCATTTCCCCTAGAAGATCCCTCACCTTTTGCTACAGGGAATCTCTCCATCTGGAGGACACCCCTATTATAGAAGGCCATATGCCCTTCCCACAAATATGTCCAGGTCACGAACACTGAGGATCACCTTGAAGAAACACCTAACCAGGTAAAAGGTAGAAAAATAAAGTTTACCAGGGCAAGGCTGGTGGGATTCTGAAAAAAAAAAAAATGAGATCAAAAGACAAATAAATGAACCAGAATTAATATGCTCAAATGACCAAAAGTCCTTACAGTGTGTTGCCATTGCACAAAGATTAGGAATTTCTTTCAATGGCTGGTTCATATTGAATAGAAGAAAGTCATCCTCATGACTTTAGAGCAAAGACCTCCTCCCTTCTTTTGTAATGGACATTAAGCCAAGGGGTATTGTACCGCTGAGCTACATCCTTAGTGTTTTTTTTTTTTGAGAGAGGGTCTTATTAAGTTGCTAAGGCTGGCCTTGAACTTGCAATCCTCCTGCCTCCTAGTTGCTGAAATTATAGGTGTGCACCACACCATGCCTAGCTTATATTATTACATTATTTTTTGATAAAAATGGTATTAGGCAGCTTCATCTCTCACCTAATTTATCAGATACGACCTGGAATGACTCCTGATTACCAAAACCAAATGAAACAAAACCCCTGCATGAACAT